GGAGTTTTGGTAAGTTCTGAAAATGCAACCCACTTTCAATATTTTCCCACTGCATAAAAACAATCCCCACCTCTAGCAGGGCATTCTTTTGGGATGATGCACAGGACTTACAGGAAGCCCCTGCACAAATGCACATAGTTCTGGATCCTTAGCTCATGAAATTGTTCACTCTAATCCTAATAGGGTCAACAGTACAACCCCAAATTGTGGACTTTGGAGCTGCAAACAGGTAAGATAAAGACAGCCTAATAACAGCTCCACCCACCAGGGTTGTTGAGTGAGTGAGTTAGGGGATATAACTTAAGCAGAATAGGGCCTAGTGAACATCAGAAATGTAAAAAAAAGAAAGAAAGAAAGAAAATCAGAGGTACTAGAAGAAGCAGAAGCAGTTAAGAAGAGGGCCTTAGGGACAGTAAGAGTGGTTGGTCTTCCTGGTGTCTCAGGGCTTCCAGTGTTAAGGTGGGCACTGGACATTATGTTGTTGTTGTTGTTAAGTGCTCTTGAGCTGCAGGTGACTCATAGCGACCCTATGAAGGACACGCTTGTGTGTCTTTCATCCTCTCTCCAGGTTCACAGGGTTTGCAGAGGCAAGCTATTACGGAAGTGGATGCCACTTCTCCTTCCAAGCTAGACATTATACTGACTATGGATTTATTTATCACCCATGACTAACATATCTGTGGACCTGTGCAAATGCACAAACAAGTAAGAGAAGCAGACTTTTCAAGAAAGTTCTAGAAGTGTTAAAGCTCTTTTGGAATTTGTCTAAATCTTCTGGGTTCTTCTCGAAGCTCCCTACCCCCACCCCCCAAATAAAGTTTTAGAATGGCCCAGGCTTTGGACAGAGGCACAGTACTTAGCTTTAACTACTCGAGGAAGAGGAACAGCAGGTTGTGCATTTAAACCCACTAAGGATGTCTCTATGTACCCACAGCCCACCTCTGTAATGCCTGGTATATTTTAAGGTTTAATAAAAGCCTACTTTTCCTTGTAGAGTTCTTCTATGCTCTTTAGAAACTTTTTTTTTGTAATACAAACATATCCCAAGAGATAAAATTGTGTATTGCAATCTAAATTTCAAAATCAATCTCCATAATAGTCTATGTGTTTCCTACTGCCAAAGGGGCCCTTTAGAGTAGTGAGAGAAGATCTTCACCCTGAAACCCACAGCGTCCCTTTTCAGCAGGAAGTAGCTAAGAGAATACACCATCCCCTTTTCCTTATGAATCAGGGTGAAGTCTCTCTCAGGGAGGAGTGATAGGGAATGGTAAGGGACACACTGACAAAGGAGATTAATCAGAACTGGCTTTGACAAGCACTGTGGCAATTGGACAATTAAAACAGACATTCGGAGGGCGGGGAAGAAGAACAAACTGGGGAGGAGGGTGGAGAGAATGGTGCAGCAATGAAGGAATGAAAACCCAAAATCCCTGTAAATGTTCATTAAAACTAATAAAATTTAATAATAAAAAAAAAGTGTGTATTGCAGCTGGGATTTCACCAGATCCATTAATTCACCCAGTATTTGCTGAGCACTTTCAGTGTGACGGGCACTGTGCTTAGCCTAGGGAAATTTTTTAAGCACTTCCTGTTTTCCTGAGGAAACGGCATGGCACAAATGGTTTGTGATGAGCTGTTAACCTAAAGTCTAGCAGTTAGAATTCAGCCAGTAGCTATGTGCAAGAAACAAATTCATCCGTGAATAGCTTCCATAGAGATTAGAGCCTAAAGAACTCTTGAAAGCAGAACAGATGGGGTCACCATGAGTTAGGGGCCAATCCAGGGGCAGCTAAGTACAAGTATTTCCCACAGTTTGGACCTTAGTCCCTTCTGTCTTCATGACAACACTATGAGGAGTTATTGTGGCCATTTCTATTTTATGATGAGAAAGTTGAGTTAAAGATAAGGTATCTTTTAACTCCCATACTAAATCACTGCCAAGCCATCTGCCTAAAGCCCCATCTGCAGGGATATTTTGTCCAAAAGCTAGAACCATTGCATGCATCTGACAGTTGGGAAGAACAGAAGTGAGAAAGAACTGAGCAGATGCGTTCACAGATAGAATGGAGGACAGAATGCTCCTGATGGGGGGGTTGGGGTGGGTGGGGGTTATCCAGGCCCTGCATCTGGGGTTTAAGCATTCTGAGGTATTTACTGTCCTTTAGGGTGCTGGGGCTTAGGGCAGGCGCTAAAGCACCTACTTTTGTCCCTTGTGAAAGTCCTGTCTGGTCACTGCTGAGTGGCTCCTGCTTTGGCAAGGACCTCCTTATTCCCTGTTCTTCATCCACACCCCATTCACCACCCCTCTGCCCCCGAAATCTATCACTTTCTGGCTTAGTCACACACTAGGTAAAACTGCATCCAGGAAGGGCAGACAGAGACAGATTCTGTGATAAGAGACTGCAGGCCCTGTTTCTAGGCCTCAGCATAGGCCTCTGAAAACCCGTGTCCTCATCTGAGGAAGGCCGAAGCTAAATTTCCCTTTACTTTGGAAGGTCCAGATCTCCTCTCCTTCCACTTGGCATGTTCTCCCCAGCTCTCACCTCTCTCAGCTCTCACGGTAAAACACACCAATGCTGAAGGGCAAGTCTGTAGGCTCAGGAGTTCTGGTGGGCAAAGGTTAACACCAAAGTTTGAATGCCTTGCAACCAGCAGGGTTATTATTATTTTAAAATTCCACAGACTATGCACTGCTTTACTGACTTCACCTGGAGCAGATGGCTCCCGCCACTGCCCTCATCACATGCAACTGCCTCACAGGACCTGACTTAGTTTGTCAGCTTAAGGTCAATAACCTGAGAAAACAGCATCTTGAAGAACCTCTTGATTCATATTTTTTCTTCCTGATACCAGAGGCCAGTGGGGCTCCCTAGCTGTATAAAGCGAGTACTCCATCTCTGAGGCTTCCTTTGGGAGGACAGCAGAAGACCCTTCCACCTTGTCCACTGATATCTGTGTGGCTTTGAGTTGATTGGCTGTGAGACATTATTCCTGGCCCGAGTCATAAAGCCAAGGGCCATGGCCAATGCCCAATGCTTTTGCTGAAGAATGTGGCTGCCATGCTGCCTCTGGATGATGAAAATATGTGGAAAGTGTTGCCTCTCTTCAAAGTACTTCTCAAGGCTCCAAGACGACCTGTGTTTCTCTAAGGCTGACTAAGTCTGAGGTGGCCTCACTGACAGGAGCAGGTTTGGTGTCTCTGGAAGAATCTGCATTTCAAGCTACATTTGGTATTTTTCTTACTTTCCAGAATAGACAGGAAGAACACAGAGCATCTGGCCATGATGCTCTAACTTGGTCTAGGACACAGTCCTCCTCCATTTCCAACAATACTTCAGGGGCCACTTTTTTGGGCACTGCCTGGTTTGCTTCTGGAAGGGAATCTGACCTTGCCAGTTAGTGGAGCCCCAAGAGGCATCAGGTCAGCTAGGAGTCTCTGACCTTTCTCCAGGTCATCACCCGGCATCTCATCCAGCCAGGGCATAGTCAAGGGTAGAATGCCAGGAAGAGTCAGTCCTTCTCATAATGTCTTAAAGCCCCTTTCCTATCTGGTTCCCAGTGGCAGCTGGAGGGAGGAAAGTGTGGGCAGCTAAATCTTTTCTGAATTAAGAAAACAACACACATCCAGACAGTGGCTTCTGCTGGGCTGAGCCATGTTTTGATAAGGCTGTGGTCATCCAAACTCATACCTATTTCAGGAGGTGGAAGGGTAAGAGAAGAGGTAACTCAACCCAGATGTGAGCTTGAAAGGAAACATAAGAACTTTCCAATGTAAACTTCACACATGTGCTCGGCCCTCCTTCCAAGCCAGAACCAGGACCACAGTTCAGAGGTGAACCAGAGGTCAGCAAGGGGGCCAGAGCCCCTGGGGTGGATTAGCGGGCCTGGCAAACCCGCCATTTCCAGAGCCTCTCCACTTTGGCTTCTCACTCCCAGCAATTAAAGTAATGAGGCTGTTGTTACTGGACAGACAAGGCCATCCACTTCCAACTCTGCAGCCTTTATTAGCAGTTTCTCTCCCTCTCTCTCATTGCCATCAGCTCAGAGCTGACTGCCCATTGACTGTCCATTGCAGTACAGGGTTGTGGCCCACATTTCTGCGCAGGCCAAGCCTGGCTTAGCTGAGTGCTGCTCTTATTTCATGGCCATGCTGGGTGGTGAACTGCATGAGACATGCTGTGGCTGACCAGTTCATTAGCATCTTTGGCCTGTGGGGCCACGGTCAAACACTGTCTTGAGACCTGGCTGGAGAAACACCTAGCTCCCTGATGTGCTTGCATTTGTTCACTGTGCAAAGAAATGTGCAAGAGAGTCTTCCAATGTGCCCGCCTGTGCTTGATGATGCATAACCATCAGCACACTCACAGTAGAATGAGGACGGTGAAGGAGGATGCACTGTGTCTGGAAGCTAAGCGGATTTCATCTTCTGAATGACTCCTGAGGGCAAGGGCCTCCAAGCAAAGAAACACAGTGGAGATTTTGAAAGACCCCCATCTTGGGAAGAAAGAAATGTGTCTCTGGTTCCGATGCTGTTACGTTCCCTTATCTTTCCTTCTGAAACACAAAATACTGTCCTTCCCCAAATGTAGTCTGCATCTTGCTTATATTTCTTTCTGTGTGGTTTGCAGACCTACTGTTGGATGTGATTGCTCTGGGTCTTGGAAAAGACCCTTGATAAAGGTGTCACAGTGCTTTGGTCCCGTGTAGTAAGGACTGAGTTGTGATCACCCTGTAAGTCCCAGTGCAAGGCACAGTAAGCTGTGGATGTCCAGCACCTGATATGGGGAAGAATTAAGGAGGGTGGTATTTTCATGTGTCTTCTCATTTGGCAAATGTATGAGTACCCATAACAATGTCATTAGTGGTGCTAACGAGAGAGCCTGAGCACCTTCTGATCCCACCTGTTAAAAAACGTCGGTGTCAGCCCACTTGGCCTATCCTGCTGGGGCCCTCAGTGAGGATGTCCATCCCAGTCCCTTCCTGGTGTCCAGCTCTCTCACCTTTTTCTGGAAGCCCATGGCAGGGACATTACACCTCACACCTGCATCTTCCTCATGGCTGCAGCCCAGAGACTCCGCATTGAATTTGCAGTCGATGATGGACTTCTCCTTCCCTGTGCACTCAATTTCGTTCAGGTGGATAGGTCCTATCCCTGATGAGGGAAAAGAAATGTGAGCTAGGAAAATCTCTGAAGAGAATGTCCTTGAACTGACTGCAAAGCCCAAGATAATAAGAACTTGCCTCTCCCATCCTCCTAACTGCCTTTCAGAATCAGCTCAGTGAGCTACAACTTTTGTCTCTGGGGGAGAGGAAAATTTATCTCTGGGACAAGGTCCTGATACTAAGCCATTAATTTTTGTCTTGGGAGTTCGTGTTCCCCATGAGAACAAATAAAATCTGTTATAAACTTGCCTTGTGACCTCGGCTATTACAGCTATTTTGAGTATCAACTTTCTCACATAAATGAAAAGGTTAGGCTTGAAAACAAATATTTAAGGCTATTCCTAATTTTACTATCATGTGCATTCATGAATTGGAGCTCATGTTAATTTTAATATTTAATTTTTTATTCTTCCTAAAGTCAACATTACATGCCTCTATGAAAAAGGAGTTTAATATTGCATGCATCTATGAAGAGGACTATTTTTTTATTAATTTAGTTTGTTTATTTTTCATTTCAATGAACATCTACAGAGATTTTGGAATTCCATTCATTCATTGTTGCACCCTTCTCCCCGCACAAACCCCTCCCCCCCCCCCCCCCCCGTTTGCTCCTCTCCTTGAAAAGCAAAAGAAAAACTCCCTCATTGGTACACAATCCCACCGCACCTCCCCAAACCCCACCCCCTACCCCCAAATATAATCCACTCTGCAACCCTCATTGTGTAGTTTAATCTGTGAAGGGCTCTGTAGAAAACAGATGGTGTACTCTAAATAATTTGAGTTTAAAAAGGATACCTTAAAATAAAAGTAAGAACAAAATGTAGAGAAATCACAAAGATAGTTTAGTACTCAAGGGTGGGTAACATTGGGAAAAGATACCATCCCAGGTCTGTAGGAGTGAGTGGAAATGCCAGTATCTGAGAGGTTGTTTAAAGGGGCCATCTAGTGAAAGCTGCAACTGGTAGTGGAAGGATGTAACAGTTTGGGGGCTCTTACAGGGAGAATTCATTCTCTGGCTTATCTTGTTCCCTATCCCCTACAGCTTCCTGCCAAAGTTTCTTACCAACCAAACCCTATTATGTCTTCTGGGACACAGAATAATAGGGAAGATGGTGGAGAATGATGGACCTGGAAGGCAGAGTGACAAGATATTCAAGAAGACATGGGTCCGAGACAAGAAGAATGAGCTTCATACTGCTTGGGACAGAGAATCCACAGTCTGATCAACTTTCTGTTCAATTTAGGCCACACAAACTAACTCTTCTCTTCCCAGTCCATTACGATGGGCTGTTCCTTCCAGGTGCTCTGAAAGCATCTGCCAGTGATCTCCTTGGTCTCCTCACACCATCTCCTCCTCTTTTTTGGATTCCATCTCTCATGCTCTAGACTCCTCCATTTTTATCATGACCTTCCTTGATCCCACATCTTCCTCTGTCTTACCACTTTTCTCCTTCGAGCGCAGACTTCATGGGAGAGTTGTCTATTCTTATTCTCTCTCCTCCCATGGTAAGCAGCACAATCTTGCCCCCTAACTGTTTAACCTCCATTCCTCTCCTCCCCATCTCACGAAGAGCAGCTCCATTCAGCCAATTTTTTTGCCAGAACTCAGAGCTCATCTCTGGTACCACTTCCACCTTTATTTCTGACAACCAATTTATCACTATGTTCATTCATTCCCCTCCAATCTGCATTCATTTTCCCTCCACCCCCCATTTATGCTGACATGACACTAGGTCAACTCTTTCATCTTCTTTCACAAACTATTTTAAACTTCAGTCCACATTCTAGTCTCCTTACCCTCTTGCTTATTCCAGTCTGTCTCCCAATATGCCACAGTATGTGGGATGATGCTTAATCATCCTTTCCTCCAAGGAGCATTCTAGCTGTACCTTCTCCAAGACACATCTTGTTTGTTCTTTTGGCAGTCTATGGGATATTCAGTACTTTTCTCTGACACCAGAGCTCAAAGGCATCAATTCTTCTTCTGTCATTCTTATTCACTGTCCAGCTCTCAGATGCATAAAGAATGATTGAAAAGACCATAGCTTCAATCAGGTGCAAAATGCTGAATTCAGTCCTGAATGAATTGCTCACATTAACTCATTTAATTGTCATAATAACTTAACTTTGATTGAGATTATTTCTTAATTCCTTTACTTGTCTTTACAGTCAATGCTTGTGGGATAAAAGAATCTTGCACTTGAGGATCCAGCCCTTATCCCAATTCAAATGCTTGCTGATCGCTAAACCAAGGGAAGAATTCCAAGGAATCATAAAATGTTTAAGCATTTCACTACTAGCTGAAAGGTTGAGAGTTCAAATGTACCCAGAGGTTCTTTGGAAGATGGGTCTGGTAATCTGTTTCTGAAAGGTCATAGCCTTGAAAATCCAATGGAGCAGTTCCATTTTGCACAGAGGGGAAGTCACCTTGAATTGAACTGACTCCATGGTAACTACAAACAACAGACTATAGGGTGGGAGTAGAGAGCTGAGGAAAGGTTAATGAAAGAACTTAATGTGCTTTAGAGTCTACTGAAGTTGGCTAGTTAAATTCTGACCCAATGTTCCTCTTTCAGGAACCTGGGGATGAGGCCCTGAAAAATGAGCCCCACATCGTGAAGCACATGGATTTTTGCCACCTCAGAGGCAGAGCTGATGAGTGACCATGTTCCTCCTCCTCTTGTCTGCACCATCACAGAGCTGGGTGGCTGCACGAGGTGAGCGCTGGGGCTGAAAGACACTGGCCAGCTGTCTAGCCTCAACCCGTCCCACAGTGTCTGTGAGCTCCTGGCTCTGGATTGTGGGCTTGGCCTTGACCTTCTTTATTCTCGGCCTCCAGCTTTCACTTGCTCCTGGCTTCTGGATCCATTCTGAATTGCTTCTCCTCAAGGTGCCCGCCTCGCCCTCTACTCTGACTTCACTTTTCTCCCAATGCACTACCATCCCTGGTCCCCAGGTGGCCACAAAGTTTGCCTCAGATGCTGGAGCCTGACAGAATGTCAGACCACTGCCCCAGCCACTTCTTTTAACAGTGAAGGCGTTGAGGTCCAGAAGGTTGCTCCAGGTCACAGAGTCAGTATTGGGAGGATCAGGACTAGAACTCAGGCTGCCGCCTCTCAGTTCATTCCTTTTCACTACCCCTGGCTCAGGGTGTGGCCACCTGGTCCCTCAGCCAGGGCCAGGACGGAAGGACTGACCCTGCCTGTCCTGCCGCTTGCCCTTCCGTGTGGTACTTTTCCCTTCTGTCTCCTGGAGTGGAGCCCTCCCAGCAGAGCACAAGATAATAAATCATCCTCTGGTTCCCTCAAGGACAGCACTGAGAATGTCAAAGCCTCTTTCTCCCAGAGCTCTGCCACCCGGATGCCTTGGAAACCTTTGGCTGCTCTGGGTAGTGTAATAATTAGGTCAGCTAGCACACACCCAGGATAAATGGAATGTTTATGTCATCCAGTTGCTTGTTTATTCCTCGGAATGAGTGATCTCTGTCCTGTGGGCCTTTGGAGAGCAGACATCAACATCTCTATTGAGCAGGGAAATGGACTGTGGGAAAACTCAAGATCCAATGGGACCCTGGAGAACCCACTGTGCCCAGGGGAGGAGAAATGTAGCCGTGCATGATGCAGGCTGCCCTCCGGGATGATGCTATGATCCAGATCCCGAGATTAGAGCTCACACTTACAGAAGCTTGTACAGATCAGAGAGCAAAGTTAAAGGGATGTTTCAAACGGTAACAGGACTGGGTCAAGACAGGTGTAAAGGAAAAAAGCCAAGTCTGAGAGAAGACTTGGGTTTCATTCTTGCTCTGCCTCTACTGGGGTGACTTCTCCTCTGGAGTTTCAAATTCCTCCTCTGTGGAGCTATGTGACCTGAGTCTTCTCCGGTAGAGATGTGCCTGGTTCCCACACTCCTCTCACCAGTCTAAGGGTCGACCCACTGCAGGCTGGGACACGCCATGTGGTAAAAATGAACCACCAAAAGGCACGAAAGAGATGAGCTCTGCCTCCAGCAGTGTGCCGGCTGCTGTCCTCAGCGTTGGAGGTTAAGTTCAAAACATGATTCTGGAGTTGCACACAGGAAACCGCTAGATGTGGCTGGTCAGGCCCTGGGGACTATGATTTCTCAAAGCTGTGATCAGTGAGCTCACCACATTCTTTTCTGTGGTGACAGCTGTGTGTTTAACTGTACGGAAACATCTTCTCCCCACAGGATAGGATACCCCCACCGTTGTCTGCAGTGCATGCTCCTTCCTCCCCAGTCTCCTGCAAGCATATGCCCAGGCCCCTTCTGGCCACCACTGCCCACAGCCCACAGCACAGCCCACACCACTGTCTCTGTACCTCCCCACTGGCCAGCACTGATGAATGACTGCCATTCCCTTCATTCAAACCACAGAGTTCCGGGGGAGGGCTGAGCACTTACTAGGTTGCAGAAGTTGTTTAGGGAGCCAGTCTCCTTATTCTGAAGGCTTAGGGGTCTTCCAAGGGCTTCGCTGGAGAGGGGAACTCTTTGTTCCATTGCAGTCTCGTGTTTACATGGTTCTCTCAGTGAGTGACCCACTTGAAAGCCTCATATACTTTTGTTATTTGTTCAAATGAAAGATTTGTTCAGGACACTTAATAAAAACCAGGCCCCTTTCTATGAGCATTTCATGGGCGATGCAGTACCAGGCTTCTTGTTCCTTCTCTTTGGTGTAAGTGCGGGAATTTCTGTGGTGCTGCACCAGAATGGAAGCATCAGATGACTTCTGAGACTTTTTGGTTTTGGAGGTGGTTCACATCTTGATAAATTCTGAGGTTCTGTTCTGAAGAAAGGCCCAGGCAACCGCAGATTTCTCGTGTGTGCACATGAAGAGCCCAGAACGAGGAGTTGGGAGGCCTATGCTAAAGGATGCGTTTGCTCTTAATATGCTGTTGAGTCCTTGGGAGGCACAAATGGTTAAGCACATGGCTACTAATTGTTTTAATTAGTAATTAATTAAACTAGAAGCGATGGCTCAAATCTCCTCAGAGATGCTTCAGAAGAAAGGCCTAGCAAATTACTTCTCAAAAATCAGCCCCTGTAAACCTATGGAGGACAGTTTGACTTTGACACACGCGTTGCCACTATTTGGCAGCTGGGTTTTTAATATGTTGTCTCATTTTGTCAATGTATTTCCTTCTCTGAGCCTCAGCTTCCAAAGCCAGAAAGCTGAGTATTTGCACTCAGGATTATCTAAGGCCCCTCCAATCCTCTGTCTGGAGCTAGGATTGTGATTTGCTAATGAAACAGCAGTTGCTGAAGCAGTGAAAAGCAGAGAGCATGAAAACATGAGTCAGGCAGGCCTTCAACTGTGGGCCAGGCCTCAGGGCTCATTATGCAAGACATACACACACACACACACACACACAGAGCCACCTGTTGCTACCTTACCTTGGCCCAGCCTGGAACCGGTGATGGCCTCTTTGGCACTCCCAAAGCCCAGCTCTCGGCAGACCACGCTGGCAGACACTAGATCCCATTTGTCATCGCAGATGGTGCCCCACTCTCCGTTCTTCAGCACCTCCACGCGGCCCTCTCCGACATTGGCACCACCTCTCAGACGCACCAGGGGTTGCTGTGGAGACACACGGTCCAGCTGAGTGGAGAAGCTGATGCACAGCTCAGAGCAAGGAGCAGCAGGAGGCATACTGCCCACCCCTGGCTTGTCCCACCTCAGCCCAGGGACGGTGTAGGAGTCAGCACTGTGCATGATGTGTGTGCTGTGTACGTGGTCCAAGTATGGTGTGTAAATGTGTGTGGTGTGTAGGGGGCTGTGCTGTATATGTGGGAGTGCGTGGTGTGGAGAAGCGTCTGTGTTTATGTGTAGTAGATGGATGATGTATGCATATGTGTGTGGATGGTGTGGATGCATGTGTTGTGGTGAGGTATCTATGTATGTCTGTATGGCTATGGTATGTATGTTTGCTATAATGCATGTATGTGTGTATGTGTACTGTGTTTAGGAGGGTTTGGTGTATACAGAGGGGAGTGTAGTGTATGTAGTGTGTGTGGTGTATACGTGTATAGTATGTGTGTAGTGTGGTGATGTGGTTGTATGTGTGTGGCGTATATATGAGTGAGTGTGTGTGTGTGTGTGTGTGTGTGTGTGTGTGTGCTGGGGGAAAAGAGCAGTGCTCATTCAGGTAAAAGCCATCTCTGCAAAACTTTCAGACAGCTTTTTTGTCCTGGAGCAGCAGGGAGCCCATCTGGGCTCCTCATCCATTTGCCATCAGCCCTGACAGGGAATTGCTTCAGTCTTCTCTCCCCTTGTCAGTCTTTCTGATGCTTGGCTCAAGCACTTTACACCAGGACTTCCCTTTCACTGTCACCCTACAACCTCCAGCTTTAGTGCTGAGGAAAGACATTCCTCCTCTCAGAAGCCTGTGGAGTCCAGGTGGCATCATCATCCTGCTGTGCTTGTCACATCTCTACAGTCTGGCCCACAGGGGCAGCCTCGCCGGGGAGTCTCCTCAGCACCAACAGATACTGCCAATGATACTGCCACTGCTTGCCCACCAGTGAAATGCAGGAGGGTGAAGGGTAATGGAAAGACAGAGTACCAGGAGGGGGGCTGTTAGCTGAGCTAACAAGGCTCAGAGAATGAATTCTCAAAGGGATGGAGAGCTTCTCACTGGTTAGGACCCACATTCATTCTGGAGCTTGTATGATGCACAACCCCATTCCTGGTCCTGCCACCCCCTAACTCTACCACTCTATGTTCCATACACCCCACATGTACACCACAACCCCATACACACCACACACATACCCTACACCACACATAGAGACCCCGCCCTACCACATCCCCTACCTCCACTCTACCTCTCCAAGTTGTACTCCATGCCCAAATTGGCACCATCCTGCCAAAAATCCCACCTGACCAGATACACAGAGAGCGGCACGGTCTACAGGTTGGTTACTTGCTCCCTGGTAGCTGGGATACTTTCATTATCTTCTGGAGTTGATTTGATTGTACAGGAGCTAAACCTTCCATGAGCTTCCAGACCCACTGGGTCACTTTTTACAAGATGAGAGCTGGGCCACTGGACTCTGACAGCTGTTTAACAGTTTGCACCAGTTTTGCTAGGTGTGTTGGGGACGCTTGCAATGCTTCCTGGCTGAGTTCCTGCTGACTTATTTGGCTCAGTACAGCAGGAGGGGAGGGGCACTATAGCGGTTAGACAACAGCCTTGATCTGCTCTGGCCAGGTCTGCCCTCGGCCCACTCCTCCCTTCAGCTCACACCTCCTATGGCCTCTGTGAGGCTGACGTGCTGGGAGGTGACATTTTTCAAGCATTTATGTACAGTAGCCAGCTTGAGGGACAAAGCACTAAATGAGAACCCTGCCACTCTGTCTTCTAGCTAAGGCTCCCATCCAGCCACCTCTCTCGTCCTCAGGGACTAAGCCTCATGTCTGGCCCACTGTCTGGCCATGGTGGTGTAAGGCACTAGACATCACTCAGAGATTTAAGGGTCTTCTCTGACCTGGTTACTAGGGAAGAAAAAAGGAGAGATGGGGGTGATCTCAAAGCACTTCATGGCTGTGTGCAATAATCTCTAGTCTACCTTCAAGAAGCAAAACTGCTGGCTCCGTTTTCTGCTGTCTGTAGTCCTGTGACTTCCTCTTCCCCCACCTTTTTTTTCAGGCTGACTAGCTTGAAGTCAGCGCCCCTTCCCTTCCAGAGCCCTAGTGCCTGCTTGATGAAGGCAGAGTATCGAGTATCTCCACCCAGCCCAGCAGCAGCCAGGCAGAGAGTCAGCTGGCCGTGGGGAGAGAAAAGGCAAATCAAGGGAAACTGTGATGTAAGGCTTTTGCTCTTGCTTTTCTGTTTTTATTGGTTTGCTAGGAACTTGATTCCTCTGCTTTAAACCACACAGTAGAAGATTTCCAAAACAGTAGGACCTGATGTGCTAGAGGACAAAAAGAGAAAAGCTCAGAGGCTCAGGATGTGGAAAGGATATATGCTTTCAAATCACACAGCACGGGAAGGGAGGGGAAGAGTGGGGTGGGGAGCTACAGGGCCACTTGTTTGCAGAGAACCCTGAAACAATACGGTCCAAGTATACCTGTGCGGTCTGGCCACACACACGTGATGGTGTGACCTCGTCTGTGCACTACAGTCCCCCGTGTGAGGAACTGAGGAAGTGGGTCCACCCCGTCCACAGGTGCTGCCTCTCAGATGCCCGGTCCACAGTCTAGGTCGTTTCCACACCTTGATATTTGGAGGCATAGCTTTCTACAACTTCTTTAATTTAGGACTTAATCTTTTGTCTAAACCACCAGAGTTATGGAAGGGCCATACAATATGAATGGAGGGATAGTCTCTTGTCTGGGTTTCCCTTTTCCATTTTATGTGTGTTACATCTTTTCTAAGAGCAGGTGCTCAATATTGCAGGAGGAAGGATGATTTCAGAAGGCAGAGGGGGGAGATGGAAGGCAAGGCAGGGAAGTGGGGAAGGGGAGACATGGATGGGATTGCCTCTGCGAACAAAAGCAAACAAAGCCTGCAGGGTTTGGGAGCTGTGGTCCCAGGAAGGAATTCTGTTGGCCTGCTCATCTCTGCCACTCCACTCCACTGACTGGATCTGAGAGGTGCCCTAACTGCCCTGTCAGGGTCTTTGGCCCCTCAGAACCCTGACCTCAGTACCATTTCTGCTCAGAGTTGACTTTGAGCTTACCCTGCCAAAGAGATTACTAAGTTCCAAGGCTTTCTCTGGCACAGGGAAGCACCCCTCAATTAATGAACATATCCCTTTTCTGCCCCTCTCTTTGCTTCCTGTGCTCCATCCCCGTTCACCAGCCCCATATTATCAGTTTCCAAAACATACACACCACAGCAACCCTTTGGTGGGCAGAAGGGGGTGGGGAAAGGAATAAGAAAAACAAAACACTAACTGCCTCTTAATGGTTATGAAATGAAGATATAATAATATACTTTGTATTTTCCAGAGGGTGGATCGAATCTGCATATGACTGGGAAACTCTTCCTATGAAGTCAGCTGAATGGGGGTGTTCATTTATTTTTACTGTGAATATACTCACACACACTCACACATGCTCGTGCACACACACACTTTCATACATGTTTATGCACATTCATATACATGCGCACATGTACACACAAAAGGTGCTGGCTCATTTGAGTTTAAGTTGATTTCCTATCTTTCTGTAAATTTTAAAAACTTTTTATTTTTTCTGTTACAGAATAGTCCAAAGCATGTTTCCAAACACTTGCAGCTGATTTCATGTGCTCTGGGGAATTGTACCAGGTAGTCAACAATCCCCAGAAGGTTTTATTCTTTGGGAAGTATGCAGGAACACAGGGTCCTGTCCAACCATCCCTCCTCTCCTATGTGTTCTGGGTCAGCAGATAGTGTACCAAGAGCTGGTGATGGGTGATCACATTCCCAGCTCTGCGCCCTCCACAGAAGGGACTCCAGTGTCACAGAGGGAAGAAATAATGGTAGAAGGACAGATGGTGGTGATGCTGATTTGGAGCTGGTGCTGACCATGCCCTGGAGACAGCATATCCTGGAGAGCTTGGCCCTGCCAGGTGCTTGGACAGTGCCCTCCTCATTCCCTCAGCCCGCCCCGGGGTGACAAGTGGCCGTGCTGCCTACCCCCTCCTCACCTCTGGCTTATAGGCTTTGCGGAATCTTGAGGGTCCATCGAGATTGAAGGCCTGGCCCGGCACACAACTCACCACTGCAGGCAGCCCATTCTCACAGGTGACATTTTTCACAGGGTCTGGCGACACCTTGGTGCCCAGCTTGCAGCTGGAGATGTGGGCCTCTGTACCGGTGCAGTCCATGGAGAACGGCCAGTAGCGCTGCTTCCTCCGCGCAGCAAACATCCTGCAGGCGGAGAACGGGACGGAGCGGGTGAGCAGGGCTTCGTGGGACCCACTCCTAACTCAGGAAGTATGCACCAAGCCAGCCAGTGCGTGCAGGAGCTGTACCACCATCTACTCTACAGGCATTTGCTGAGCTCACAGTCTGTGCCGGCAGATCTATGGGGACAGGATCCAGGAGAGGTAGAAAGGACTCCTGCTCTCAAGCAGTAAATAATCTAGGCAAGAGAGGCCCCACAAAATAGAGTAAAATAATAATAATAAAAGGCTATTAGAGATTTCAAGCACAAAGGGTTATCTGTTAGAAAAGAAATGAGACAAGAGTGGGAGCCCCAGGATGTGATGAGGGAATGACTGCATGGAAGGGGAAGACTTGAGCTGAGCCTCGAATCCTGCGGAGTGCTCAGAAAGGAGGGCAGGGAGGACACCTGTCCGCTCCTGTGTCACAGCCCTCTGGGGACTATGTGCACATCTTTGCAGAATCCAGAGAGAATGCAGACAATATAGCTGCTGATGACCCTGCAGTGAGCCCTCCTAGGCAGGCTGGCCCTGCAGGGAACAAAACAAAAGTAAAATTTTGTCTCTGGTCAAGCAGGCCTGAAGTAGCTGCTTTGTCTCAGAGTGAATGGGATGTGAACCCAGAGGAGGGACACATTCCGCAGACCCCAGCATCCTCTTTCCTTAACAGAACACTGAGATTTGTAAAAACTGCTGTGCTCCTGTGGACACAAAGGAACAAATATTTCAAAGAAGGACTAGCCTGGAACATTCAGGTTGCTGTGCTCATCAAAGAGTGCTCAGAGCTGCAAATAGTTAATGTGTTTGGCTGCTAACCAAAAGGTTGGGTATTTGAATCTGTCCTGTGCCTCTTACAATCTCAGAGTAAAGGCTTAGGAATGGATTTCCAAGGAATCGGTCAAGAAATCTCTGTGGAGAACAGTTGTTCTTTCACACACTTGGAGTCATCATGATTGGGAGCAGATTCCACCTCAAATGGTTTTGGTTTCTCTATTCATCATATCCACAGCCTGGAGCACAGAAGTCCAGGAAACTATCAACACCCACTGATACCGAGTTGATTCCAACTCATGGTGACCCTCTATCAGGTTCCTGTCAATCTCTACAGGGAGAGGCTGCTGCTCTTTCTCCCGGGCAGATTTAACTACCTAGGAAGACTCTTTATAGCTCCAGAACCACTGCCCTCCCCACTTCAGGAAAGGCCTCTGCATCTGGAAGCACAACCTAGAGCTTGCTCTCCGGGATGGATGCCCCCGCATCTGGGCAGGAGAACCCTGAAGGTACCAGCTGGAAGAGCACACATGAGATCTCCCTGGCAAGCTTGCACTTGGCTCAGGAAAAGTCTTTGGCTTCCAGCTGTCAATTAACACCACCCTCTCCCAGGGAACAACTGTATTGAGTTCTTATTATACACAGCAAACAAAACTGCCCAAAGATGGTGCTGCTTCCTCCCAAGGCAGCTCTGCTTCCCTCTGACATCAGCTCACAGATATGTGCTGTGACCCACCACAGCTTTGGCCAGAAGTGCCCACCCTTCCCCCATGCCAGCGGCCACTCAGGCCAGGCCCAGGGTGCAGACGTGAGGAGGATGGTGGACTGAGGGGTGAGCGGAGATGGGAACTGCCTTTGGCCAAGCAGAAAGTCAGCCTCTGAAATTGGTGCCTGGACAACAGCTGGTAGAAGGAAAATACTGAGATGATCTGAGTCAACTTCAAATGCCAGGTCCTAATGGTTTTCTCCCAGCCAAAAGTGAAGCCAGGGGTTCTGGAGCCTAGAAAGGAGTCATGGCAGCACAGTGTCAAAGTCTTCTGCTGCTGACTGAAAGGTCGGCAGTTTAAATCCCCGAGCCAGCAGTGTGGAAGGAAAATGAGGCAGTCTGCTTCTGTAAATATTTACAACCTTGGAAAGCCCGGGGGCAGGTAGGTCTACTCTGTTCTGTAGAGTTGCTATGAGCCAGAATTGACTTGATTGTAGTGAGTTTAGTTTGGAAGCTTAGACAAGGAGCACTGAGGGTGTAAATGGTTATGCAGCTGACTGCTGGCCAAAAGTTTGAACTGAGCAGCAGCTCTACAGAGGGAAGATTAGAGCTTAGGAAAGCTGCGGGCCAGTACCACCCTGCCTATAGGTTTAGTACCACCCTGCCTATAGGTTTGCTAGGAGTTGGAGTTGACTGGATGGCATGAAACAGACAAGCTTAGGTAACATTAGAACTCTGCGTGTGTGTGTGTGTGTGTGTGGCCAGTCTCCTCCCTAGTAATTAGCTGCCTCTGGAAACCCAGTAGAAGGTCAACTATGGGTTAGTTCTGACTCAACAGCACATAACAAACAATAATATCTCTCTCTCTATCTATCTCTCTATCTAGTCCTGGTGGCCTTGTAATAAGAAGCTGTGTGGCAAACCCAAAGGCACATAGTTCAAATCCACCAGTTGCTCTGCAGTGTTATTCATTCTCTCTCTCTCTCTCTCTC